GCGGGGAGAGAGGGGAAGTTAGGCTCCGGGAGAGGAGGGGAAGGGGGGAGGGGGCTAATGCGGAAGAGAGTTTTCTTCAGTTTTAGCTTTAGACCCAGACTTTTGTAGCACTGGTACCTGTGTCGTTGGAGAGGGGAGCAGAGAGGAGGGAGGGGGGAGCGAAAAGCCCATCATCCCCTGATGGAACAACAGTTCATTAAAATATCTCTATGGGTGCTATACCAGAGCACCGACTGTATAATCCGTAGGATTTGCCATACTGCTTTTGTATTGCTTCACTGATTATCCAGTTTTTCCTGGCGCATGATGCAGTTCTATTTGTATTAAGCAACAGAGCACTGAATTTCAGTGGGTAGTAACCTCGCGTCGTGATCCGGTACCAGGATCGGCCTGGCACGCTGTACGTGGAAAACGGCGCTGATAGGACGCCACGTGCAGCAGCGATACGGAGGTGGAGTACGGGAAATTGCGCTCCACGAATAGATGGCGGAGCAGCAGGAAACCGTGCCTGGCATATACTTTGTGGAGCGTTCGAAAATTGCACGGGTAATATTATTTTGCTAACACTTCCAAAGAAATTATCGAAAATGATATGTTCAAATTACAAGACAAACAAAGAAAGCTGTAACCTTCAGATAGGCGCACTGCTATGGCAGTGCATGGATGCGAGCCGCAAAAGGATACTTTGACAATGCGTGTGTTGTGGCAGTGATGTCTCAATCACTGGGCAGCGTACCACAGCTGGTTGCTTGCTCCGCTTTAGCAGCACACCACGAGTGGTTGCACGCGCGTGGTACTATCTTTCACATTGGTTCCCCTTATTTTACCGGTTCTATTTGCCAATGGATGCGCACGTGAGGATGAATTGTCAGAATTCGCGACCATCACTATTGCAGTACGCTCTTGTTGCATCATTTATGCGCCGAATTGGGTGTCCCTGAAATCACTGTACCATTTAGTGCTACCAGCAAACTCTGGGCCTCTTGCCGCACAAATTTCTCAAATTATTTCCGCTTGGGACATATTTACAAGCAAATTAGTATTGCATTCCTTCTACGATGTTGATGGCTTTCACGCTGTTTAGACAGTCCACCAGATGGGCGAATTTTTCCTCTGACAAAATGCAAAAAGCTTCTCTAACTGAAAGAAGCTCTTTTATAAATAACCAAAAATTAGTTGAGTTTTTCCAGAAGATGGCTTCCCTTAGTTCATTTTATTTAACAAGGGGAGATTTGCTAGCAATCGTTGGATTTATGAAAATTTTGATCTTATGACAAATTTGTGTTTTCAGTTGTGTTTATTTTAGTGTATGTGATTCGCCGGCGGATTGTGCGTCTGAGGGAGCTATCAGAAATTCGCGATTCCGTGAATGAAAGGTACGTCTGGTAGTGTTTTCCGCCATGCATAACTTTCGGTTGCTTTACATTTCATGACGCTCGGAATCAGTTAAAGGATTTTTTAGGGCAGATTAAGGCTAACTCAAATTATCCAAGATATTGCATCTTCGCGTTGTGGTGATACTTGCATCAGCTTTTCCAGTTCCCTTTTTTCATTCTTCTGGGGTGAAATTATATTTCCCTAAGTCACACACGGTTGATGACGAGTCACTTGGAAGTAGCATCAGTGGGTAGTATATGCTAGCAACAACTGTTTTTCGGGATGCCAAAGGTCTGTCTTCGGGATCAAGCAGAATGAATTTTTTCTTCTGATACCCACCAGATCACAACTCGAGCGATTTCTTTCAGCAAGTTTCGCAGAAAACTAACCCGACTTGTTGCCTGATTACACCACTTTGTATTTTTCTTTTCGAGCAGATTTTTGACATCCGTCGTCTCGAAAAAAACCCAGCCATTCTCAAATCAGAGGCCTATTATTTTCATTTGGCACTAATTTCAGCGGCATGGTGAATCTCGCGAAGTAGCTACGGCATCAGTGGGAGACGCGAAGAATTTGCTGTAGTTGTGAAGAAATGTGATTATTGTTTTAGTTGTAAAGAGCATAGAAGTGATATAATTGTAAAGAGTTTTTTTAACTGTATTTTTTTGTATAGTTTTAAACAAGTGATATGATTATGTAACGAGTTTGTATAATTGTATTTTTTAGATAATTTTAAATAAGTAGTATGATTTTGTGAGGAATTAATTCTATTTTTAATGTACAGATTTTTTGGCTTTTTTTTTTGTAGTATGGTGTTTGGT